AAAAACAAATATCATATATTAATGCATATATGTGGAACCTAGAAAAATGGTACAGATGAACCAGTGTGCAGGGCAGAAATAGAAACACAGATGCAGAGAACAAACATATGGACACTAAGGGGGAAAGTGGTAAGGGTGGGGGGTGGTGTGATGAATTGGGAGATTGGGATTGACATGTATACACTAATATGTATAAAATGGATAACGAATAAGAGCCTACTGTATAAAAAAATAAATTAAATTAAATTCAACAATTAAAAAAAAAAAGAGAGAGATGTACCACAATGTTCATTGCAGCACTGTTTACAAGACCCAGGACATGGAACCAACCTAAACGTCCATCAACAGATGAATGGATAAAGAAGATGTGGCACACGTATACGATGGAATATTACTCAGCCATAAAAAGAAATGAAATTGAGTTATTTGTAGTGAGGTGGATAGATCTAGCGTCTGTCATACAGAGTCAAGTAAGTCAGAAAGAGAAAAACAAATACCATATGCTAACACATATATATGGAATCTAAAATTTTAAAAAATGGTTCTGAAGAACCTAAGGGCAGGACAGGAATAAAGATGCAGAAGTAGACTTGAGGACACGGGGAGGGGGAAGGGTAAGCTGGGACAAAGTGAGAGAGTGGCATTGACATATATACACTACCAAATGTAAAATAGATAGCTAGTGGGAAGCAGCCACATAGCACAGGGAGATCATCTCCATGCTTTGTGACCACCTAGAGGGGTGGGATAGGGAGGGTGGGAGGGAGGCTCAAGAGGGAGGTGATATGGGGATATATTTATACGTATAGCTGATTCACTTTGTTATATAGCAGAAACTAACACAACATTGTAAAGTAATTATATTCCAATAAAGATGTTGAAAAAAATTCTGATGCCAATAGACAGCTGGGTTATAAATTCATCTATAACATGTCATTATACTTCTTGATTTGGGTCCATTGCCCCTGCTAGACTATAACTTTCTCGGAAGTAGAACCCATATCACTTTTTCTCCACAGAGCCTAGCTAAATGTCCAACACAAATTTTCAATAACTCTTTGTGGAATAAATGAATAAGTTAAAGAATGACTGAATGAACTATATCTTTCCCAAACAGATCATCCTTTTACATGCTAAAAACATCCAGAATAACAACAGGAGCTGGACTGCAAGTCCATGAAGTATGTTCTACGTCTGCAAAGAACTTGAAGAGAGAGAACTAGGGCTGACAGATTACCCAAAGAGGTTGATAGCAGACATAAATAGTAAATGTAAAAGGGATGGTAGATAGCATAAGGCTTGAAGGACAAAGGGGTTTTGCACCTATGAGGATGAAAGCACAAGGGGAAACCAACTGAATGGCAATACTGCCTCCCAGTGGCCCTTGGGATAAAAGCCTCTATACCAGAGCACTTTCACAAAATAATAGCTTTCTCACTTTGAGTGGTTCTGGGCTATGAGCTGGGCCAGGCACCTCTTACTTTATCTCATTTAACCCTTACAACAATCCCTTGTAGACACATAGCTTGTAGATTAGGAGTGAATCACACAGACTCTGGAGTCAGGATGTCTGGCTCTCCTACTTACTAGGTTTGTGACCTGGGGCAAATTAATTCTCAGCATATGTCCCCATCTGTAAAATAGGGATAATATTAGTACCTATCACATACATCCTTGACAGCATAGCAAATGCTATATAAACGTTAGCTATTATTATGCCCTTTTTTCTGGTGAGGAAAACTTATATGTTAAATAAATGAAGCATACAATAGGAACTCAATAAATAAACTTCCTTTGCTTTCCCCCCTTATGTCTTAGCTCCTTACAGTGCGCCCTCTTTAATGGTCCTGAAATTTAAATAGGGGACTCCCAAATAGCTCAAAGAAGTCAGTTCCTAAAGGGAGCAATAAGGAATCTCCAGTAAAGAAACTGAGAAACCTCCATTAGAAAGCCCAGGGCATGTGGTTCTGGAAAAGAGAACTCTACTGGCACTCTTGTTACTGTTATTAGAGTGAAGACCTTCCCAGCAATGAAATTCACTCTACTGAAAACAGGATGCACGGAGATTGTGAAAATCAACTAAGATTTGTGCAGGATGTCACATTTCTAGAAATATTCAAATAAATATGATCTGTCCAGAGCCTATTTTTCACAACTTTGCCCACAGAAGCTAAGGGACCATGATCACTTTCAAGATTGGGCTAATAATAACCTACTAGAGAGTCTATTCTCTCGTTGCTTTCCTACTATTGTAAAAATAAAATTCATGAAAATGATAGTTTTCATGTGACACAACACTGATGTGATTATCAGACTGCCCACCCCAGTCCACCTTTGAGATGAGATGTATCTTTACCTGGTAAGACTTATTGGCAGATCTGCACATCGATAGCAAACAGGCTCCTTTACATGGAGAGTAAAGCTCTCCATGCTTCTGCAAGCTTCCTCTGATTCAGATTTCAGTATTCCTGGGTGTTCTATTTGAGAGACTGAATATACAAACAAACAATGACCAGACCATATTTAAAAACAGAACTCTGACCCGCAACCTGCCCGAAGCCTACCCAGGAAAGTAACACCCTTATCTATAATAAACAGCCCAGGAAGCCAGCCTGCTTAAGTCAGACTTGTAGGAAGTCAGACTGCGGTGTCTAGTGATAGTCCAGGAAGCCAAATAACCCATATAACAATCCGCTCAAAATAGCCAGGACTTGATTAACAACTGAGAGCTTCCCTAATTTTTGTCCCCACTTCCAACTTAGGACCAACCAGAGAAAGCCACATATGCACCCCTAACCAATCACATAGGATGCCCCTCTCTTGAGTTAGCCCACCTACAACTTACCCATGAAAACAGCCTTGAATCAGGACATACCTGAAACCTTCCCTTTTTTCACTATTAATCTTTTCCACTCCTCTGCCTGTCTATGAGTCTCTGCCAAAATACAAGTGACGGTGGCTGACTCCCTTTCTAAATATAGCAAGCTATTGAATAAATAGCTTTTGCTTTTCTCATTTGGTTGGTCATCATTTATTTCCACATATTGGACCTAGTAATTCTACAAAGAACTAATTTCCAAACCCTCTTTAAAAGATATTGGTTGGGTTTCCCTGGTGGCACAGTGGTTAAGAATACGCCTGCCAACGCAGCGGTCACAGGTTCGAGCCCTGGTCCGGGAAGATCCCACGTGCCGCGGAGCAACTAAGCCCGTGTGCCACAACTACTGAGCCTGTGCTCTACAGGCCGCGAGCCACAACTACTGAGCCCATGTACCATAACTACTGAAGCCTGCACGCCTAGAGCCCATGCTCCACAACAAGAGAAGCCACTGCAATGAGAAGCCCGCCCACCGCAACGAGAAAGCCCATGCACAGCAACGAAGACCCAACTCAGCCAAAGATAAAAAATTTTTTAATCTTAAAAAAAAGAGATATTGGTTAACATTGTTTCTAAAACAGTCATAAAGTTAGCAGAGAACATCTCTTTTACTTCATCTTAATAACCTAAATCTATATGCTCCAAGGCTCACCTTTAGGCAGAAGATATCCCTGGAATGGGCACAGCCTCCTGCCCACCTGAGCAGTGGAGTGTCGAAGCGGGCGGGTGGAGACCGCGGGAGCGCCTCCCTCTCTCAGGCGGACCTCCGAATGGGAACTACAATTCCCAGTGGCCCCTGCAGACCGCCGGCCGCGGCCACGATGCGCCTGCGCAGTGGCGGGGGCTCCGGCTGTGTGGTTCCCGCCATTTCTCGCGGCAGGCCTCCCTGGGTTGAGTTCCGCGCTTCATGGAGGCGTTTGACCCCGCCGAGCTGCCCGAGCTGCTTAAGCTTTATTACCGGAGGCTCTTTCCCTACGCCCAGTACTATCGCTGGCTCAACTATGGCGGAGGTGATGGAGGCGGGGAGCGGGGTGGGAAGTGGGTTGGGAGGGGAACGTGAGGAGATTTCAGGAGGGTACCTTGGAATGACAATATGAAGCGCCTCCTGTGTGCCAGGCGTTGTGCCGGGCACCGTCTTGCGTTATCCTGAGCCCTCCCCCTCACCTCTGAGGTGTAAATGGGCCGAGAGAGGTTGTAATGACCAGCCTACCGCTACGCATTGTAAGGCAGAGCCGCTGCTCCTGTCACTCCTTGGTCAGACTCAAGTGGTCGGACTCACTTTCGGTTCGGTGTTTATCTGCAGCCAAGGGGGGGATTACCGGGTTGTAGCATGAAGCTGCAGAGGCGTGATCAGCTCAGGGACAGAGGGGCATCTCCTAAAAGAGGAGAGGTACTTAACTCTTCCCAGGAATTTACTAGTGCCCACCGAGGAAAAAGAGGTGGTATTACATATTGAAAATATTTCTGCATCTTTTTCCTCATTTTTACTTTTCCCTGTTAGATGCGGGATGGTAAACCCCTTCAAATTAGGAACTAGTTCTTGTCTTTTTTTTTTTTTTAACATGTAGCACAGTGCTGAGCACAGAGGACTCATTAAAAATATCTTCTCTGGGGTGTGCTCAGAGCAGGGGGTCTGAAGAAATGGCTCATGTGTTTACAACACACCCAACAGGAATTAGGGTTCATTGTGACAAGGGGCACAAAACTTGTGGCCTTCCTATGAACAGATACCCAACACGTATCCCCCCTTCACCTGCACGTGGCTGCTGGGCAGGGCCAGTGGGACAGGGCTCAGTACTGGGAGGAAAGCTACAGTATTCAGTGGGGGAGTTTGCCACTTGGAGCCTGTCCGGTCCACGTGTGGCTGGGCCATGAGTGGTGTTATAGGCATAAAGGCTTTGAACCCCTCTATTCAAGGAAAAAAGAAAAATAGATTCCGTGTATATGCCATTCTGGAAAAGGCAAAACAATGGAGACAATAAAAAGATCAGTGGTTGCCAGGAGTTTGCGGGGGAGGGGAGATGAATACATAGAATACAGAAGTTTTTATGAGCGGTGAAAATACTTTGTATGACATTATAATGATTTTATGTCATCATACTATTGTCCAAACCCGTAGAATGTGCAACACTATTCACTTCATAAAGCGAACCCTAAGATGAACTAGGGACTTTGGTGATTATGATGTGTCAGTGCAGTTCAGCCTTAATTTTTTAAAAAAAGTCTTAAAAAGAATTAACACTCAGGGTAGACGTTTTTGGCAAAACCTTTGTTTCACTTCTATATATGTATACACATTATGTATGTGTCTGTTGGACTGTGATGTAAAATGTGCTTTTTAGAATAAAAAAGTTTGCAGGTTACTGTAGTTATACTGGCAAATAAAAGCACAAATTAAAAAGAAAAAAATATATATCTTCTCATTGGTTAATGTTTTAATGCTCTGAGCTGGGTAAAGTACCAAATTAACTTTTAAAGTGTACATTTATTTTGCAGTGGTAAAGAATTACTTTCAACACCGTGAATTTTCCTTCACATTGAAAGATGATATTTACATTCGTTACCAATCCTTCAACAACCAGAGTGATCTGGAAAAGGAGATGCAGAAAATGAATCCGTACAAGATTGATATAGGCGCGGTATATTCCCACAGAGTAAGAAATGGATTTTTTATGTAGTTTGTTGTTTTTTAAACCAAGAATGGATTGGTGCCCCTAGCATTTTGAGATAAATTTTTAGAGCTTATTTTAGTTGAAGAGCCACAAATTGTCCTTTGATGCTTTACATTACTGACTGGAAATAGTTTGGAAGTGAATTGGTTGTATTCTCACTAGAACAAAAAAAAGAGTATCTGGCTAAAAGACTAGGAAGTCAACGTGGTTGAGCACAGAGGGCATTGGAGAGAATCATTCTTGATTTCTCTATTTCTCTCACACCTGTATCTGTTTCACTAGGAAATCTCTTTAGCTCTACCATAATAATATCTAAAATCCAACCACTGCTACTAGTGCTGCTACCATCATCATCTCCATCTCTAATCTAAATTACTGTAAAAACTTTCTAACACTTTGCTCCTGTAGACTCTAGACTCTCTTCTCAACACAGCAGCCAGACGGATCCTTTTAAAACAAGATTGTTATGATTCCTCTGCTCAAAACCATTCTCCAGTGGCTCCCCATTTCACTCCAAGTAAGAGTCCCTCTCTTCTGCTCAGTCACTCCTCACCTGCCACACTGGCCCGTGCTCAAGCAGTTTCCACTGCCTAGAACCCATTTCCCCAAATATGTTATTGGTTCATTCCCTCACCTCCTTCAAGTCCTTACTCAGTGAGGCGTCTGCAGCCTGCCATTCCTCCTACCTGCTCACCTCACTGATACATTCTAAGTGCCTAGAATACTGCTAGGCAGAGAGTACACAGTAATTATCTGCGGAATGAATAAACATACCAAAATTGTCCTTCTTCCTCTCCTTAAAAATACACACATGGTGGGGAAAATATACACATGAAATAATAGCTTTTGTATGGAGCTTTTTCATATGTTGTATAGCTTGTTTTTCATGTCAATCCTCATTATTCTTTTTTTTAATATAAATTTATTTTGTTTATATTTATTTTTGGCTGCGTTGGGTCTTCGTTGCTGTGTGCGGGCTTTCTCTAGTTGCGGCGAGCGGGGGTTACTCTTCGTTGCAGTGCGTGGGCTTCTCATTGCAGTGTCCTCTCGTTGCGGAGCACGGGCTCTAGGTGCGCAGGCTTCAGTAGTTGTGGCCCTTGGGCTCAGTAGTTGTGGCTCACGGGCTCAGCCACTCTGCAACATGTGGGATCTTCCCGGACCAGGGCTCGAACCCGCGTCCCCTGCATCGGCAGGCAGACTCCCAACCACTGTGCCACCAGGGAAGCGCCCTCATTATTCTTTTTACAAATGAAAACTTCGATAATTTGCCCTAGGTCACACAATTTCTAAATGAGGGAGATGGGACCTGAATCCAGGTTTTCTGACTCTAAATCCCAGGGGAAGGGGAGAAGAAGAGGTAAGATAAGGCAGGCAGGGAAAATGCTTTGGAACAGTTTACTCCTCTTCAGAGGTGGAGATTAAAACTGAAGTCTTGTGCTTCCCTGGTGGCGCAGTGGTTGAGAGTCCGCCTGCGGATGCAGGGGACACGGGTTCATGCCCCGGTCCAGGAACATCCCACATGCTGCGGAGCGGCTGGGCCCGTGAGCCATGGCCACTGAGCCTGCACGTCCAGAGCCTATGCTCCGCAGCGGGAGAGGCCACAGCAGTGAGAGGCCCGCGTATCGCAAAAAAAAAACAAAAAATCGAAGTCTCTGTAGAAGGGTCAAGTTGTCACTCTACTCCTTCTCCCTAGCACAGAAGGGCGGGGGGGATAGTGTCATTTTTTTAATTGGACCAAGGCAGAGGCATCTGTACACCCTTTTTGTGTGTTTTGTTTGTGATTTTTATCAGTTATATATGCGCGTAGTTTACAGAATCAACTACTATTAATTAGGCTTTTTTTTTTTAAGGTCTCCTACTTTTCCCCCTAGTTTTTGCTCCCCAGAGGCAAGCATTTTCTTTTTGCTGATTGTTAAGGTATTTGCCTCCTTGTCTCTAAATAACATGATTATATTTCTTCTGTTTTTCCATTTTAAGCATTATCTACTGACCTTCCATTCTGGCAGATGAGAGTTTAGGGTTTTTTCAGTCTCACCCCCTACCCTCACCACACAGAGAACCTTCCTATTACCACATGCTCTTAGTATGTTTGTTAAAAATTAGGATTAGATCACTAATTCAACCCCAAACTGCTAATTATATAAATCTCCCAATGTATTCAGATCCATCAAGTATTTTGTCAGTTTCATCCTGAAGAAATTTCTCCTGCAGCCTTCTTAACTCCTCCTCTCTAAGCCTGACGGGTAAATATGAACTTGTAATCACCCTGGTTTCCTTTCACCTCTCTCCTGTGATCCTTGTTGCCTAGATCCTATGTTCTCTTTTTGGTTTACTCCCTTGTTTTGGTGGAGCACATCCTCCAGGAGCTTCCTAAGAAAAGGTGCATGGAAGACAAAATATTTCATACCTTCTGTATCTGGAAAATGTCTTCATTCTATCTTTATGCTTAACTAATGATTGAGTTTGTAAATCATTTTCCCTCAGAATTTTGAAGACACTGCTACATTATCTTCGAGCTTCCAATGTTGCTGTTAAGAAGACTAATGCCATTCTGATTCCTGTTCCATTGTGTTGGACCTGGAAACTCTTAGGATTTTCTTTTAAAAAAAAAATTTATTTCTTTAATGTTGTACCTATTTTATTTATTTTTGGCTGCATTGAGTCTTCGTTGCTGTGTGCGGGCTTTCTCTAGTTGCGGCAAGCGGGGTCTACTCTTCGTTGCAGTGCGCTGGCTTCTCATTGAGGTGGCTTCTCTTGTTGTGGAGCACGGGCTCTAGGCACGTGGGCTTCAGTAGTTGTGGTACACGGGCTTAGTTGCTCCACGGCATGTGGGATCTTCCCTCACTAGGGCTCGAATACGTGTCCCCTGCATTGGCAGGTGGATTCTTAACCACTGCGCCACCAGGGAAGCCCCGCTCTTAGGATTTTCTGCCTATCCCCTCTGTCCCTAATGGTGTACATCTTTTTTCATCTATTGTGCTAGATACCTGATGGACACATATGATCATGAGCTCGTATCCTTCAATCCTGGGAAATTTTCCTTTTTTTTTTTCTTTAATAGATCTTTATTGGAGTATAATTGCTTCACAATATTGTGTTAGTTTCTGTTGTACAAAAAAGTGAATCAGCCATATGCATACATATGTCCCCATATCCCCTCCCTCTTGAGCCTCCCTCTCCCACCCCTCTAGGTCTTCGCAAAGCACTGAGCTGATCTCTCTGTGCTATGCTACTGCTTCCCACTAACTAACTATTTTACATTCGGTAGTGTATATATGTCAGTGCTACTCTCACTTTGCCCCAGCTTCCCCCTCCTACCCTGTGTCCTCAAGTCCATTCTCTATGTCTACATCTTTATTCCTGCCCTGCAACTAGGTTCATCAGTACCTTTTTTTTTTTTTTTTAGATTCCATATATATGCGTTAGCATATGGTATTTGTTTTTCTCTTTCTGACTTACTTCACTCTGTATGACAGACTCTAGGTCCATCCACCTGACTACAAATAACTCAATTTCATTTCTTTTTATGACTGAGTAATATTCCATTTTGTATATGTGCCACATCTTCTTTAGCCATTCATCTGTCGATGGACATTTAGGTTGGTTCCAAGTCCTGGCTATTGTAAATAGTGCTGCAGTGAACATTGTGGTACATGTCTCTTTTTGAATTATGGTTTTCTCAGGGTATATGCCCAGTAGTGGGATCGCTGGGTTGTATGGTAGTTCTATTTTTAGTTTTTTAAGGAACCTCCATACTGTTTTCCATAGTGGTTGTATCAATTTACGTTCCCACCAACAGTGCAGGAGGTTTCCCTTTTCACCACACCCTTTCCAGCATTTATTGTTTCTAGATTTTTTGATAGTGGCCATTCTGACCCTTTTTATTTTTTTTAATTTAATTTTTAGTTTTATTGATCTTTGTTATTGTTTTCTTTGTTTCTATTTCATTTATTTCTGCTCTGATCTTTATGATTTCTTTCCTTCTACTAACTTTGTGTTTTGTTTGTTCTTTCTCTAGTTCCTTTAGGTGTAAGGTTAGATTGTTTGTTTGAGATGTTTGTTGTTTCTTGAGGTAGGATTGTATTGCTATA